GCCTACACACTTGCTACCTGCAATCATCCAAACATCGTCAAGTTCATTGGTGCCGGTCCAAACATGCGAATGGCCGATGTTCGCTATGTTGTAATTGAGCGTTAAATCATGTTTTCCGGTTTCGATGTAGGCAATGAGTTTCCCCGTCCAATTGTTCTTTCAATTTGGCGCAGATTCGACTTTTTTGTCATCGTCAAAGGCAAGAAGCTGTTTGGTATCTGCTCTAGGTGCATTACCCGAACATATGAATAATCGTGAATAATTGTGATATGCTCACCGTCTCCACAAACATCTTCAAGTGTACGTACTTTCTTTCTTTTTCGAAAACCAAGGTCACAAGGATGAGTCCCATACCAGTTATTCGAAGTCAGTGGATGTTTACAGCATGACAGTCTCTTTTTGGAAAATGCTGACACGAAGATTGGACCAAGTGGTGAATCCTCACTCCTTGAGGATCCATTCATGTCCGCCACTTCTTCAAAGTCTCTTTGATCGGTGAGAACCTCCTAACTTCTACCTGTCTAAAAGCATTCACATTGGGAAGAAGAGCTGATGGAAACTTTTGCGCTTGCAGTGGAATGGAAGCAGATCCGTGTCAGCGACCATCAGCAACACAGCTGGTCCGACTCTTCGATTTGATCATGTGCAGAGTCTGCACGATGGACACTTCGCAACTGTGCATTCACCTCGAGAACGCTAAAGCTCCCAGTATCTCTCAAGGAATCAGCATCATCACCGTAAATGAGTATAATTTTGGCAAAGAAGTCAAGTTCCTGAGTAGTGAGAAGCGTGAAACTTGAAGAAACTGGAGCAGACTGGCAGAGATTTGGGTTCTGAAGTGATAACAAATGGAAGACTGGGAGCAACCGTTTTAAATAATTTAGGTAGATCTGTGGAGAATTGGGTTCTAGAGTGATGGGAATCGGATAACCGTAGACGAGGTCCTGCAGTGTCGGGAACAAGTTAATTGGGGGAGGAGCTGTTGTCGATAGAAAGGTAGGATGTGAA